CGGCCGCGCTGGATATACGTTTATTTCGGAACGCGCAGCGCCGCCTTTTTTTCCCGCCGCGGTTTGTCGGATCGTTGATCTACAATGGGGGTGGCACCGCGAGCGCGATATGAAGAATTTTTAGCGGGCAGGAATTCCCATCGGTCTTCGTTTCGGGGTCGAGGATTGGAGGGAATTGGGAAGAGGATATGAGTAATTTGTTCAGATAAGAATATGGATCATGAAATGTGAAATTGCGAATGGTAAATAATGTAGGATTGTACAAATTTAAATGATAACGTAACGTAGGATGTAAGGAAAGAAATAATAAATAATATTGAAATATGAAAATTAAAAGGGGAAGAATGTGAAGGAAATGTACATTAAATATTTATATACTCCAAGAAGCAATACATTATTTACAATAAAAAAACTATGAAGTTTAAATAATAGAATAATGTAGGATGTAAGGAAAGAAGTAATAAATAATATATGAATACAAAAATTTAAATGATAACATAATCTAGGATGTAAGAAAAGAAATAATATTAAAATATAAAAATTTTAATAATATAAAAGGTAGGATATAAGCATCTAAATAATAAATGATATAAGAATGTACAATACAAATAATGAAATCATATTAATAAACTGTAGAATTTCTTCTGAGGGAATTGGCGATGAAGATGATTTAAAAAGTCAGAGTGAAGAAATTTGAATAGAGAAAACAAAAGGTAGACGATTCAATCTTTATTTTATGCAAAAATTAAAGGAAATTCAAAAATAAAATTAACTCTTTTCTTCTGCTAATAATTTAAAGAATATTTTCAGATATTTTGGGAACTGAGAATAATTCGAGAAATTATAAAATATGAAAAAATGTTAAGAAAAACAGAAATAAGAAACTTTAAAGATTAATCTACCAATTAACTTTCTTGTTTCTACATGAATAGCTTCAAACATTGTTCTAAAAATTGCAAACAAAGATAATCAAAAGGAACAACAAATAACAAAGTAACCGTTACAATCTTTCAATTCCAAAACTCAAGAAGCATAAAAATAATATAATAATTTTCCTCTTCCTCAGT